CAAGAATCTTTTCTTATCAAGTCTGGGAAAAAATCTGATGAAAGAGTGAAAATTATTGACTATTGAGTTTTTTAAAAAGTATAAATATGCTGCTTATTTGTCAACAGCTCTGGTTCCCCATGGGACAGGGAATTTAAAGATGGCTTAACTTTAGTAAAACCCCAAACCAACAAACTGAACATATATGAGAATAATGGAATTTCCCAAATCAAAAATATTTAGATTAATATCACCTTTAAAATGTGAGGAAAATTATAATTCACAGTAGCATTTAAAAAAGTCCAAATTCCTTCATTAAATCAAAATTATTAAATATCATTATTTAAAAAATATTTTATCATTTTTAAATGTGTTCTGGTCCAGGGAGTATCATACAGAAGAGAAGAAAGCATTCATTATGAAAAATAGGATACAGTGCAAGAATTCTGCTATAAATAAAAAGATATTCAGTTTAATACTGCTTTTGGCTCAATAGCAGCTGAAAAATTGAGAATTTTTAATAATCAAGTAATATTTTTTAAGTTCTATAAAAAGCCTTGAGGAGCACAGCCTGTTTACCTGTATAGAGTTTGTAAATGCATTATCCTTGTTTTCAATGGGTCTGAAAAGTTCCTTTTTCTTCTCCCGGTCCCTTATGTCTGGGCTGGCAGCACTAATGAGCATCTTCAGGTTAGCTGTGGGTGTCCATGGTTCTGCTTGCTGTCTGTCGACAAGCTTAACTGGAGTAATGGGATTTCTCTCTGGAGTGAAGATTTTTTGCTTCGATAAGTCAATTGGTTCATTTTTTATTGGCGTCTTCGGGGCCATCCTTGATCGATCAACAAATATATTTTCCTATTTTAAAAAAGAGACCTTTTAGCAAGAGTGAGAAAGGGCAGGTATCAGCTAAGAGTACACTTTGCTCCCACCACTCACTAATACTTGAAAATACAAATAGGACTGTATGTTTAGGCTGAAAAGTATCAGGACAGGACTAATGAAAGTTAGACAGAACGCTTCATGGGAATTGAAGAGTTGTTCCACTGAGAAATAGACTATACTCTGCTACTCCTTTTAAACATATTTTTCGTGGAATCTCTGTGAGAGGAGAAGTCACGAATGTATCTGTCACTTGTAATAGTTGGGGCTGATGAAGCCCAATGTGGCTGAGTCCATATTGCTTTTAAGCATCATCTTTTTTAAAACACTATTTACAAGTTTGCATTAAGTAGTGAAGAGCAATGATGCTTTTCTAGTTCAACGTTCACTAGTGCTAATATAGCAATTAATAGCAGGACCAGTTAATGGAAGAACATCTGGCAAAATACCACATTTTAAGCCAACCTAGAGAGCTGTCTAATATTCTCCCAGAGCAGTGCTTCTCCCACATACTGATACGTGATCTTACTTCATAGGACTAATATGCAACTCCCACCAGATGTGATTTGCCATTTGAGTTTGTCACTCAAACCGGCTTGTTCAACAAAAAAACACTGATCATAGGCTTAGATGTCCTGGTGGCAATATCAAATTGCTACTGAGGTTTCAAGTGCTTAACTCCCAAGTTCTGTTAACTTTTTTGCAGTCTGGTAATAGTTTGTGGAAAAGCACCTGTCCTCAGACCACACTTTGAGTAGATGATCCTCAATAACTATAAGAAAAGATTAACGATGTCCCCATTATGAAAAAGGAGTAAATATATAGAATCCACATTCAGAACTATCAAGTAATTAAAACAAATTCCCCTAAAATGTTTCAAAATATTCAAAACACAATTCAGAATAAGAAAATTCAATAATTCAATATTCAAGAACAGAAAGATTCTGCTTTTCCTGTAGTATTCCCTTCCAGTATAGTGTCTTACATGATTATGAAGGTAGATGAGTTAAATATCTGTCACTCAATCTCCTGCACACACACCATTCTATAGCTACTACATGCGCAGATTTTGGCTGAGCAGTGATTTACAGAAAATGATTTCCTATAAATGATTAACATGTGAAGAGGTAAAAGATTGTTTGGGAGAAACTGGAGTTTGTGTAAGCACAGCAAATCTTATTCCTTGCATCAGCAGAAGCTGCAGGCTAGCGATGGAAACGTTCTGTCCCGGAACAACGGGAAGGAACTGAGTGGATGGGGGTGGGGATTTCTCATGCCACAGCAGCAGTAAGCACCCCGCCCAGAGCGCCACATCCGCCCACCTCCTTTAACAAGTCCCTGCTGGCATGCCATTCTGACTTTTGTCACGCCCCGTTTCATATATCTTACATGTATTAATTCCTCATCCAATCCTGTGACATAGGTACTATTATTTTTCCAGTTTACAGATGAAGAAACTGAGGCACAGAGAGGTCAATAACTTGCCTGAGGTCACATACGACCTCATTCAATGTAAAAATCATTGGTATGTAAGAAACAGCTGAAAGGAGATGGTTCTGGATTCTTTCTGCATTTAAAAATGAGCATGTCCTGGGTGCAAGTTGGGAGGAAGTTATCTTTTTCACAACTCCAACCAAAGGTACCCAGCAGGCCATGATCCCAACCAGCATCTAGGGAGAGGCAGGATGGGGAAGTACTTATGCACAAACGGCCTGAGGCCAGCTGACCTGCCTCTGCTACTTAGCAGTGGGAGCGTAACAAGTTCCTGCCCCTCACTATACTTTGTTTCTCTCAACTGAAAATGAAGTTCATAAAAATGCCCACCCTCAAGGGTTATAAGACTAGTTCCTGGCCTATAGTGAGTGCTCAATAAAACTTTGCTTTATCTTTTCCCTCTTTCCCATTCTTTTTTTTCAGCATATTATGGGGGTACAGATGTTTAGGTTATGTTTTCCCATTCTTTATTACCATTCATTCTGGCACTTTGAGATAATACACTACAGCGCATGGTATTGCTATTTTATTTCCTGGATGTGTGTCTTGTCTCAATGAAACTATACTTGGAGAGGTCAAGGAGCAAGTTCCACATGTGTTGTTCATCCCAATTTTTGGCACAATGTCTTGCCCATTACAGGTGCTCAAAGAACACTGTGGCTTGATTATCTGGTTATTCCAAAAGGTGTCCTCTTGGTAGAGGGTGTGGTCCAGGCATGCTGAGTGGACAGAGATTTACTCGCCTTCTTTATTGCTTCCACAATATCTGTCCTCATGGGAATGATGAGTTCCTACCTTTTCCCTAGTGAGGGAGCAACTCAGAATGATGATTTATTCATACACTTTGATATATTTTCACTGCAGTTTAATGAATACTTAAAGTAGGAGGGGAGTTAGGTCATGTGGTAGGTTATGATCATATTACACCTCTGTTACTACATCAAAAGAAAAAAATGCCAAGCATATTGTTTTCTAAGGTCTACAGTGTGCAGAAGGTCAACTGCAATCTGGTCACACCCTGCTCCATCCATCTGCCTATCCTGCTATCCTGAATTTATAGGGAAGTGGTAAGGGGACTGGAATAGGAATTTGTAAACCTGATTTGTGTCTCAGCTCTTTTTGTATCTTTTTGATCCATGGACAAATCGTTTGTTCTGTCTGAGCTCAAGTTGCCATATGCATAAAATAAGGGATTCAGACTAAAGTATCTGTCTCCAAAGTTTTCTAGCAAGGCTGCCCAGCTGTGTAGTGGACACTGGGATGCACCCAGATCTCTTTGGAAATGAATGACTCATTTCCCCAGCTACCGGAAGTAATGTCAACATTAAACCCTTAACCAGACTGGAAGAGGGCTGACTCATCCAGGATCACACCGCCTCCTGGGAGGCCTAGCTTGTACTCACTAGCTAATAGAAATAGCAATAACATGTAAAAGCCTGGCCTCCCTGCCCCCACCAAGAGGACATTCTAGAACTCCCCATAGGGTAACTCAGATATTTGGGTCCCTGAAAATCTCTCTGGTAACTGAGGGCAGGGTCTGCATCAAATTCATTTTTGGGTTATCACTTTGATTCAGTACAGCATGAAGAATATGTGTTGATGGGTGTTTTTCAAAAATCCAACAGAGGAGGTGCTATATATTAACTCTAATTAATGGAAGAAAAAATGGCCTTAGGGAGGTTATGAGACTCATTAATCCATCATATCCTCAGCATCTGGAACATAAATATTTGTTGAAAGATCTTATAAATATGTTTGTTCAATAGTTAATAAATGGCAAAGCAGGAAATCAAACCCATGACCTTGTGACTCCAAACACGGTGTTCTCACCATCCCTAGAGTCTCCTTCCTTTACTTCCTAGCAACATGAAAAAGATACAAGCTCCTAGCATCTCTGCGGAAGCACTCTGTTCTCATCTTGTCTTCTCTCTGAGGTGATATAATCCCTGCTCATACATTCTATTTCAAACATTTTAGCCACTTGCCCAGTCTCTTTCGAGTCATTTGAGTTTTTCTCCAAACCTGTTAGAATGTAAAAGCTTAACTGGACACAGCACTTACTGATGCTAGAGGAGAAGGGTCCTTGTTGAAGGCAGTTGATAAAAGTCATTGACCCAGAAGGACAGAAGTGGAGCATTGACTTAGACTTTATATAAACGTACGTTTACACATTCTTTCAAGGCTTAGTTAAGATGGAAAGGCATTACATTTGTGGGTGGAAGACATAACAGAAACATGTTCCAATTGACAGCAATCGGGTTCACTACTATCCACAGTTTCAGGCATCCACTGGGCATCTTGGAAGACATCCCCTGCAGATAAGGGGGACTACTGTACTTCTTTTCCTAACAAAAATAAATCAAAATGCTAAACAAACAAAAAATCCCTATATGGAAAAGCACACAATTTCACACATATCCAAAATTAACAAGTGTCAAGTATTCTTCAAGGCCCATTTAACAGGTGCTTCACAACCAGGTGGTTTCGTTGTTCATGTTAAGCCTTGATGCCCAAGGAAGTTGCTAATCTCAGGTTTATATCCCAAGTTTCTAAAACTGGGTTTGTTAAATCTATTTGCCTCTGCCTAAAAATACTCAGATAGTTTAGACATTGTTACTGCCAGTTAACTTTTTAATGTTTCTTGAAGACACTACTTCAGTCTTATAAGTCACGAGGAGTGCAAAAAGGGAGGGAAATGCTATCAGTAGCACTGTAAAATATTCCGAGTATGTTGGTGGGCTGAGTTACTTTATCTCCCTATATGGTAGGCACAGGTCATACTCTTGGGTGAATGGAACAGCCTCTAGGAGCTGTTTCATTGGTATGAAGACATTTTATAGCACTTTAATAATCCAGTATTTAAAACTACAAAAGTTTATTTTCCTGGGAACTGAGACTTAACATTCCTACAGAGCATTAGCTAAACCACCTTTGACAACTGTATTACAAACTTTTGATTGTTGTGTCCAGCACCTCTTATATAATTGGTTCCAGCATTACATCTAATCTAGCCTCTCTTTCCACACAGCACAATGACTGAGAGTACACTTGCAACAACAATGATGTGGATGGCTCCATTTTTAAAAAAGTATGTTTCTACAATGTTCATCAAAATTGATTATGTTTATAAGACAAATACAAGTAGCGTGTTGGAACACTTAATTGGATTAGATATCACCATCCTTAATATGCTAGAGATTAAGGTATTTATGTGTGCTTACCTTTTGTGCATTTTCTCCATCTTCAATTGCAAAATCTAGCCTGGACTGCCTGGGGTTGATCAGGTCTTTCAGTGTTAAACAATTTACCTCCATCTGTAATGCACATTACAAAATGATTGTACAATTAGATATTTTTTTCTTCCAACAAAACATCTACGTATTTATTACTTGTTTGTGAACATGAACTTCCCCTTCCCTAAACACGTCCTGGGAATTTCCAGGAGTGTAGCCGCCTTCCAACCCTCTCTAAAACTCACATGAACAAACACAAACACCTAAAGCGTGCTTAGTAATTACTGAAAATCTGGAAAGAAAAAAAATCAACAAAAATAGTAATTCTTTATGAAAAAACCAACAGGGCAAAATAAAGTTACCAAATCAGGAGGGTGTTGGTCAAATCTGTCAGAAAGTACAGGGTCTCCCAGGTCAGTTAATTTTGGCGCAAAGAACTGGGAGGAATTCGGCTTTGAGGGGGTTTGAATCAGAGGAGGAAACCTGATCGCTAGACCAAACCCACTCAGAGCTTAGCACAGCCCTTTCTCAGGCCTCCAAGCAGACCCCCAAAATAAATTCTTCCAATGAAACCCCTAAATCGTGGGGAAGGGCAAGTGGCCTCTACTGCTCGGTTGGAGGGAGAGCTGGACCCGGCACAGCCCCCGCGCACCCGGTGCCGCGACGATAACACCTCGATCTCCCGCCAGCCGGGGAAGCGAAGGGGTCGCAGGCTGGCAGCCGGGGGTCCCCTCACCCCCGATTCCCGCCCCGCCACCAGCGCTGGGGCCGCACGCTTACTTACTCCCGCTTTGCGAAGGAGGCTTCCTGCCTCCACCCGGACCTTCACCGCCCCACACTGATGCGGGAAGGGGGCAAGGCGATCAGCAGCTGGGCGGCAACATCGGGAGGGTAGAGCGAGGCGCGCAGATCCTCGCGCCAAGTGCCCTGCGCTGGCGGGGACCAGACAGCGTCCGGGCAGCGCCAGCGCTCCGAACCCCCGAGCGCAGCTCCAGCCTGGATCACTATCCCCGCTAAAACACCTCCTCTGGCGCCTTGAGACCGAATTTCAGAATCCACCAATCATCTGCGGCCGGTGGGGCGGCCCCGGCCAATCGCGCGGCCGCATGGGCCGGGCTCTCCGCCCCTCGGAGTCTTGGCGCCCTGGGCCGCGCGTTTTGCCCGCACCCGCCCAATTGTTGCTGCCTCAGCCCCCCTCCCCCTTCCGGGTACCTGGAAACCTCGGACCCGGGAGCCAATTCCTGCGGAGGACGCGGGCCCCGGCGGCCGCGGGAAGCCAAGGTGGGGGCGGCGCGAGGCGCCTGCAGGAGGAGGAGGAGTAGGTGGAGAAGGAGGAGGGCTCTTTTGTTATGCATAAAAGACCCGCTTAGGTCCCCGCGGCTTGCCGCGCCCGGGGACCGCGGGCACAGCCAGGGGAGGGGAAAGCAGATGGAGTTTGGAAAAACGATATACGCGCTCCGGATGCTGGTGCCGCCACGCCTTTCCCCCGCACCCCTAGTAACCTGCGCAGAAGCGGAGTTGTTCAGACTTGCTGGAGCAAACTTCCTAACACCCGAACGCTGGTGTGACACGTGAACCATGGTTACACTCTGCTGCGAGCAGATGGCACGCCAGTTAGCCCTGGAAACGAGACTGGAAGCCGAACCCATTTTTTTTTTCCCCTTAACTTTTTTGCAAATCCGGAAATGTTTCTTGGTGTTCCCTTTTCGGAATAAAAGGAAAAAGCCTTAATTTTTAAAAAAGGAATTCTTTGCAATGTGGACTGGCATTCGGGAAACAGTCGAGAAAATTTCCTCAACATTACTGATTTGTATGAAATTTTTCACTTCCTTCAACTTTAGTTTCATATTTAAATTATGAATGTTGGTAGAGACAGGTTTTTTTTTAAAAAAACTATTGTTTAGAACATTTTTAGATTTACAGAAAAAATGAAAGATAACTACAAAGAGTTCTCATATATCCAGCATCCAATTTCACCCCATTAACATTTTATATTAGTATAGTACATTTATTAAAATTAATGAACCAATATTAGTATTTTATTTTTAACTAAAGTCATTACTTTATTCACATTTCCTTAATTTTTATCCAATGTCTTTTTTTCTGTTCCAGGATACCACATTACTTTTAATCTCCATATCTCTCTAGGCTCCTCTTGGCTGTGACAATTTCTCATACTTTTGTTGTTTTTGATGACCTGGACAGTTTTAAAGAATATTGATCAGGTAGGTAGGACCTCAATTGGAATTTGAGACGACCTTTTCGAGCCATGTCTACGGACATTTCCCTACAAACCATATACTTTATAGCAAGGGAATCATTCTCCTTATCCTTTCTTTCCCAAGGCTCCATTTTCTGCCCTATAACCCCCAAATATATATATATGTGTGTGTTTGTGTGTGTGTGTGTGTGTATTTTATATATTTTAAAATTTTTTTTAAAAGAACTTTGGGCAGAATTCAGAATGCTCAATCAAGTCTTCTGCTTTGTACTCTAGATAGCTGGTAAATGCAGCCTAAAAATTACAGCTAGGGCATACATTAAAAAGACAACAAAGCACACAAAACATTAAACATAAAAGTAACAGTAGTAATAAAAGGTTGACATTGTTATAATAGAAATAACATTTTGTACTGAAACTAGTAGGTGGAAGCATAAAGAAAAGTATGAAGAATAAAATTGTAACTTACTAAATTTTATACTTAGGTGGAAGCAAAAAATTTAGATGAAATTTTTTTTACCACTGTATTAATTTTCTGTGGCTGCTGTAACAAATCACCACAAACTGGCTGGCTTCGGAGAACAGAGATTTATTTTCTCACAATCGTGGAAGCCATAAGTCAAGGTGTTCACAGGGCCATAATCCCTCTAGGGCTCTTAGAGGAGAATCTGTCCTTTGCCCCTTCCAGCTTCTGGTGGCTGTTGGCAGTCCTTGACATGGGGCTGCCTCAAGCCCAATCTCTGCCTCTGTGGCCACACTGCTTTCTCTTTAGTCTGTTAACTCTCACCTGTGTGTCTTTTATGAGGACAATTGCCATTGAATTTAGGTCCCACCTGGATAATCCTGGATATTCTCATCACAAGATCCTTAATTTAATTATATCTGCAGAGACCCTTTTTCCAAATAAAGTAACGTTCCTTCACAGGCTCTGGGGATTAGGACATGGATATGCTTTTTGGGGGGCCACTGTTTAGCCCTCTAGACCTGTGATGCCCAACTCCCGGGCCACGCACTGGTACCAGTCTGTGGCCTGTTAGGAATCAGGCAGCACAGCAGGAGGTGAGTGGCAGGTGAGCAAGCAAAGCTTCATCTGTATTTATAGCTGTTTCTCATCACTCGCATCACCGCCTGAGCTCCGCCTCCTGACAGATCAGTGGCTGCATTAGATTCTCTTAGGAGCAGGAACTCTCTTGTAAACCGCGTGTGAGGGATCTAGGTTGCGCACTCCTATGAGAATCTAATGCCTGATGATCTGAGGTGGAGCTGGGGCGGTGATGTGGGAGTGGCTGGGGAGCAGCTGAAAATAAAGATTATCATTAGCAGAGAGGTTTGATTGCACAGAGACCATAATAAATCAATTGCTTGCAGACTCATATCAAAACCCTATCAATGAGTGGCAAGTAGCAATGTAGTAATAATAGAAATAAAGTGCACAATAAATGTAATGCACTTAGATCATCCCCAAACTATCCCCTCACCCTGCTGGTCCACGGAAAAATTGTCTTCCATAAAACTGGTCCTTGATGCCAAAAAGGTTGGGAACTGCTGCTGTAGACCAACATTCACATTATTAAAGTCCATTCATTTCTCTGATATGCCAAAATACTAGTGGTTGTTTCTTTGAGCTTAGGCAGTTACAGACCATTTCCTAGCATATTCAGAGTAAAAATACTTTTTCTATATATTTCATTACAAATGTAGCCTCTAGTCAAATCAAGAAGAACTCAGTAGCATTCTTGTCGGTCAGTTCTAGGGCAACATAGTCTGAATTGTCCAGTTAATGTATCGACTTCCTTAAATATTTTCTTTTTCTTCCACTACTGCAAGCACAGTCATCTTGGTGTGGCATCTGTTCTCCAAAGTGCAATCACACAGGGAATTGGAAATTGATTTTTCACTACACAGGTTACAGGGATTTTGACTTCACATCCTGGCAATTCTCAAGTTTCTTTAAGAGGATCGATTTAACAATTCTTAAACTGAGGGCTGCCATTCAAAATGGACTTTGTCTTCAGCCATTCATGAGTCTGACAATGTGATGCATTTGATTCTCTAACTGCTAGCAAGTTCAGGGAAGACAAAAAATTTATTCTTGACCAACCACAAGCAATGCCAGAAGGAGAATGAGTTCATGATTGGTTCCTGCTCATGACCTTAGCAACAATAAAAAGATGATACCAAAGGGCAGTTATGGCTTCCGTCTCAAATGATATCCAGATGTCCAGCAGTTTAAAGGGAAGTGCCTCAGCTGTGACTGTATGTCCCATAGGGAACGAAGGAATTCATTCTTTATCTTTTACAGACTCCTTGTGCACTGTGCAGCAAGGTCTGTTTTCTTTAGTCATGTGATTTGCATTCTCACTAAATGAAAAGATAGTATATTTGGCACGTATGTGTGTATATGTGTGCGTGGCTGTGTGTATGCATGCTAAAGGCAGGGATGGGGAGGGAGGTGTGCTGAAACAAACATTCCAGACCACAGCAGACAGGATGAATTTTAAGTTGGGTGTTTCTGGGAATAGTGTAAGAGTGGAGAGTGTACAATGGGGCTCTCTTTTATATGATGCCAAATTTATGTTACAGGTTTGGGCATGGATGTTTGGAGCCACCACAGTGCACCCATTGGTACAATAAAAATGGGACTGACCACTGCCCTGGACCTGAGATTCTGGAGAAAATGGGAACACAACCTTCTCCTTAATTTCCAGAGTCTTATCCAGAAGGGAAGGAATTTACTGTGAGTAGTAGAGAGAGATAGAATCTAGATTAAGCCTGGCCATGAACTTGCTGAGTGACGTGGAACAAAAGGTATCGCAGATCTAGGCATCAGTTTTCTCTGTAAAGTGGAGGGGCTGATTTGGAATACCTCTGAAGAACCTGCTAATTTTGTCATTTGAAATAAATACTTATTGGACACTTAGTATATATAGCCTCTTAAAACTATTTGCTACTGACTTCTAATCACTCAGTGTGCACATGTAAAAATATTGCTGAAACCACTTTTTTATTTCCATATTTGGTGAAAGTGAACACATCTCTACTGATTAAATTACATTATGTGTCTCTATGTATGTACATCCATACATTAAAAATGAGAATGTTAAAAAATACCAGGCCAAAGTGACCTTTGTGAGCTTTATTTTTGTAAACTTAGAATTAAATGGCTAAATGTAACTATTTATACCTACCAAATAACATTATTTTAATAGCATTTATTCATTATTATACTTTGTAGAACCAAATGAAAATAGTTTCGTTGTGTGGTACAAAGGGAAGTTTGAGGTGAAAGGTGGTAGAGAAAGGAGTTTGGGGTTAGCGGTTCAGGGAGTGAAAACTTAAGTTCAACTACTACAGCTACTGCCTTTTCTTAACCCAGAGCCACCTCATCCTTTGTAGGGCTTTCTACCTTGGAAAAACTAGAGATGTGAGACAATGAACCCAAATGGAGTTGTAGTAGCACAGACCTTTACTAAGCAATGAGGGGGACACGTTTAAAGTATTGTCTACACAAAGTCCTTGTGAAAATGTAAACAGTTCCATGGAAAGAGTAATCATTTAACCCGTGTAGCACAATAAGCCATCTTTCTTCAAGCCACACCTGAGGGTGAAAATGGAGTTAAGCCTTAAAGTATAAAACATTGTTTTCTCTGTAATACCTTATATAAAATGCTGGAGTTTCTAGCCTTCTTCAAAGACTCAACCTGCCTTCCCGGTAAATTTTGGGAGTCCTCAGTCACACATACTCTTAGACAAGTTCTTTCCACCTTCCCTGACAC